TCAATCAATACCACTGCATCTGTAAGAATTCTTACACAGATTATTTCRTTAGATAATTCTAACTATATTTATCCAGAATGCAGGTCTTGATACCCATCCCCTGCAAAGTCCACTCTCAAGGATAGCTGTGCAAAGGAAGCACTGAGGCCTAACTCTAGACTCCCAAATTACTAGGTTCTGAAAGACGTAAGGAAAGTAATAAATATTTTGAGTTTACCATAACTACAAAACGTCAGGACTTATCCAAACTGATTTACTCACTTCTTCCCTCTCACTTGCTTTCACTGTTTAAACTAACTCTTCAGTAAAGCAATTCAGAAGACAGCAAATGGCTCACAATTCCTAAATAAACCATAACAAGCTGAATAGYACCTGTTCTGGAGGACAAAGGCCTGTTGCCAAGGCACTAGACTTCAAGTTTCCAATGGCTTATGACAGCAATAACAAGGCAAACAAAATAAATAATAAAAATGAAACTGAAAGATACCTTGACAGTGTCCTTTTAATCTTCAGCCAACTTGAGATGTCACGTAAGCACTGAAGCAGCAAAAAGGTGATACTGCTTAGACAGCAAAATCTCAATTCCTCCCTGACCTACAAATCAGAAGCTAATAGATTAGTGGTGCACTGGTGTGTATCTGCACAGTATCTCATGGAAACCCTSTCGCAGCTTCTGAAACTAAACGCATGTGCTCTAAGATGCAGAAAAAGCCTAACTATAAATAACATCAACTGAAGCATGCACAGAAGATTTTGACAACCCAGTCAAGGACCTTATGGAACAAAAATCCCAAATTGTCTAAGAAAGCCATCATATCTGAAGAGATGAAGCATACTGCATGTAGCTCAGGAACAGAAAGGTCTTCCCAGTGCAACATAAACTGGAGAGCAAGACAGAGAGGCACAACCCTGCCCATATGTTCTCAATGGATCTCAGTACCTTGTAATATTGCCAGCAGCAGCAGCACCACTACACAAGTGGCGGATGAGAATTACTTTCTCGGACCACTCAGTTTCAAAGCTGTGATCTAAATATTACAATTTTACTCTTTCTAAATACATATTCAAAATATATGGCACATATATTTTACTATAGTCAAAAATCGTTCAAATTATCTCATGGTAATTAACATCAGTTGATTACAGAGGATTAAGACTTGCAGAATCAGACCAAGATACCCTTCATTGAGATGTTTTCGAAGAGAGACACAACTGCACATATTTAATGCTCACAGGTTTTCCTCAGCGTACTGCTGCTAGTAAACATTTTCTATCTTGTGCAAAATGTGCATACACTTTAGAAAACACACATTTAGGTATCTATACAAGTACCCACAGATATTTTCTTTCTAGGCTAACTCTCAGACGGCCTGATTTTGAAAGATATGTTTAAGCAGATCCCTTGACTTCATTGTGGCCARCTTCCTGGAAACAACTTTAGCTGTCTCTTACTTGGGTGAAATCAGTGACATTTYCATCAGCTTTATCTAGATGGGAAAAAAACCATATACAAATACAAATAAATGTGTATATACATACATATATATATATATATACACGCATAGAAAAATGCAGCATCAACTTCTATGGAATTTGATAAAGTAACCAGTTAAAAAAAAAAATCAATAAAGCCAGTCACTTCAAGGGTATAATGCTGCTTTTCAGAAAGAAGCATTGGTTCCAACAATGGTAAGCTCCATGGTAAGAAAATGTATGTTCTTAGTAGGAATGAGGTGTAACTAGATATGAGCTTCAAATAGTCAAGATTCAAGTATTTTAAAATGCCATCCATATGTACATTCCTACTGTGCCTCTCTTACACATTTTTTTATCCCTAAGGTTAACTGATATTCAAGAAAGGCATTTATTTTGATGGGTCAAAATGTCAGACTACCCTGAAACAGTGGCAATCAATGAGTCTCATCAGGAGTCCAAAATATTATTTTGTTTGAGCAGTGAGTATAAATTAATGATGAGTCATAGATGCTGTCCACTTACTATTAAATGATTAGTCATTTACAGACAACACACCAAATGCTACTCAAAATTGTGACTGCCAGAGGGTTGACTGTCAGGCTTTCAAAAGACTGAGTATTACTAAATAAAGCTGTCTGTTCATAGAATGTTGCACAAAACCAGTCACAAAAAGAACTGGATTCACTAGAATTAGTTATTTCTCTTACATACTATTTAAAACAAATSTGAGCTAAGCTAATGGAGAAACTGAAGACCTCTAGAAGCTCAGCAGACTGCACCAGAGGTAGCTTTACAGTTTGTTTTGGACTGCCTGTGAAATGCAAGGATAGGAGTGAAAAGGACAAACATGGAACAAAACACTTGCATGGCAGTTTTTAGGGGTTGGCTTTGTTTTACACAAGTTAACTGAATGAAATAAAACCCACGTCATTATCTAAGTTGATTACTTCTTTTTTCAGATGCTTAGRTGGTTACCTATCTTGCTTCAGCTCAGAGGCAGACAACATCCTACCTGAAATTTAAGAGAATACGTCAACATCTCCTTGTCCTTATTTTAATGCTTAAATCCATGATATTGCTAATGCYCTTTTCTGAAGAAAATATGTGTGTCAAGTTGCATGTTTACTTTAAATATCTTGTATTATGGAAAGAAAATTTTTTTTTTCTAGAGATATGTGGATTTTAATTTTAAAAATCTCATTACTAATTTCCAGGAAACACACATGAAGTCTGAATAAGGTAACTGCATGCAACAGATGTGTGAAATTCCTTCCTTATCCCAACTGGTGTAATCCTACAGTTGGCCTTTTCCTCCTTATTCTGTAGAAACAGATAACAAAGGATAAAAATTGACCTAACTGCTTTGAATGTAACTATCTATGATGGCTATTAGGATGGCATCACAGTTGACAAAATACTGTCATACTCTGGTTAAACTGGAAAGACACAAGCCAACTGCAATCTCACACTTAGCTGCTACAGCATTTGTTTACAATGTCTGTGTCAATGATTTATACTCACACAATAAAATATTAAGAGCAAYAAACTACAAACCTGGTAGCACAAGAATTCTAACAGGTTTTCCTTGCAGTGTATCAATTCTGACACTACCTAAGATCCACCAAAAGCACTGCAGATATAATGTGTTGCATTACATAAAATCAAGTACAGAAGCTTAGTTTTATATAACTGTAATATGCATACAGATGGTCTTCAGGACAAAGTATCTAATTTAAACTACAGTTTGTACAAATTTGAAATATAAGCAAAAGGCAGGAATTTTGCCATTCCTGGTACAGTATCCTAACTCAATAAAATTGGAAACTTCCTCTATTTGTACCTCTTACTGGTTCTTCCAATATTAAAAAACTTTCTGAGACTGAAATCAATTGCAGAGCTTTTCAATTAATAGATGAAATTCAAAGAAGGGAATGATTTTTCATCTCTTGTAGCCAAATAGTAGTTCAAAACTATGGTCATATTAATTGAAATTCAGTTATTTATGTTGACAGCAACTATGGCATAAAAAATAAGCAAAGTCCACTTTATAAAGATCACCAATGTCAAATAAAACACAGTCTATGATCTCTGAACACACGAAGATAAACCATGCAGTGAAACTATGCGGTCAAACTATTGTTCTTCCAAACCTTGCCTTCCTAATRCATTCCTTTAGCCAAGCAATGGGAAGATAAACCCATTTGCCTAATGGAGCATATAATTTAAATATTTCAGGCAAGCATTTACAGAGATGSTGCCTAAAATAAATTTACGAGTCATCCATCGAAATATCTTGCATGATGAAGACCCCAGCAGACTTCACAACTTATTTTTTCTATACAAACTCTCAACTCTACAGCCCTTGCAGCTACTTTAGTCACCATGAGAACTCTGTATTACATTATTACACCAAATCTTTTTCTTTTCTTTCCATAACAGATTTAATATGAACCTGCAYTTTTTTCTCTTTTGCAGTGCCTTGCAACACTTCTAAAATCACTAAAATTCCAGATTTCACCCATGGCACCATGCATTCCTGCACAATTTTGTAAATACAATACGTCTAAATTTATGGAGCCTTACAGGACTAGTGTATTTAGCAGATTGCAGCACTCTATCCACAGGAACACACACTCAGCCAATGTCAATATTCTGTCATTTAGAAGCAGGATTTCTTACCATAAAGCACGCCCATTAATACAAATCAGCAGGGCTGTCGTCCCCCCCTCGCACTCCAAACTTGTACGTAGGGTTTAAGCTATTGGTATAACAGGTCTTCACTTGATTAAAAAAAAAAAAAACAAACCTGCTTAGGCTTTTTTTTTAACATGCTATGAATCACGTTTTACACTGTGACCTACCTAAGGCACAACACTACAGCGTAACAAGCGAAGTGCATGTTACAAGAATTCCCCCGTTTCACAAAGACAAACGAGTGTCTACGTGAAAAAAAAAGAGAAAGCAAGATAGTCTCTACCATTTCATATTCACTAGAAGTGAACGTTTCAAAGAGTTTTTCAACTTCTACAAACGTCAGATTTTTACCGTGTACCTCAATACTGCAGAGAAAGCCAAAATTAAAAAATAACCCCTAACTCTGGCTTTTAAGTCTGTTATGGATTTCGCGTTTGTGAAAAAAATAGGTTAGTTTTGTTTGGTCTTTTCTACAAAGAGACTCATCTCCTATGCATGCCACAAATAACCTGAGCAATGACTTCCCTCCATGACAAGAGCTGCCCATCATATTGCAGGATTATTACAATGTTGGTTTGTTTAGGGGTTGCTTGTGAGTGCGGCTTGCGTATGTAATTCAGGCATTCGCATACATCAACTCCTCGTTGCGCATCTCACAATAAACTGATGAACGCTGGTAAACCTGAACCAGCAACCTTTAGCAAACAAAGAAGTCGAGCCCGGAATCGTGATGCAAAATCATCCCAAAACGTTTTACACCCCGCAAGAACCTCTCATAGAAAATAGCCCGGCAGCCTCATTCACTCCCCATAACCCAGCGATCTGCTCACCATCTCCGTCTTATTTCTCTGTCCTCAGCTTATTTTCCTTGCTGCTACTGGGCTTCAAGGAGGCGGCGTACAAAAAAAAAAAAAAAAAAAAAAAAAAAAAAAAAAGAAAAATGTTTTAAAAAATAAAAAGGGGAAACCCCCCAACTCTTCAATAAACCACTCGGCAGCCGCTGGGCAGCAGCATGTCAGCCTCTTGTCTTCCTCTCCCGCTCCCCGCGCAGGAGCCGCTCCCGCCGTGCCCGCCCCGCGGGTGCCCGTCCGTCCCCCGCGCGTTCCCCGGGAGAGCGCCCGGGCTGCACCAGCTCCTCCCGCCTGCTCACCCACCGAGGCAGCCGAGTAGTCGCAGCCGGGCTGATTTTCCCCTCCCACCTCCACATTCCTATTTACAAAGGGTATCCAAGACCATCTTTATCCAGCGGGGGGGGGGGAGGGGGGAGGAAGGAGGGGTGAGGTGGAAGTAATAATTAACCCTTTTTTTGCATTTACCTTCTCTACCGTGATTTTTGCTCCGTTTTTGGAGCACACAGGGGAATTCCCCTTCTTTACAGAGCACATGGACTCGTTGCCATCGGGCCCACCGGGTCCCCGCTCCCGCACCCCGGCTTGGCCGCTGACGGTGCTCCTAATGGCCCCAAGGCCGCTCCAGAAAAAAGGTCCAAGGGCACGGCTGGAAAACGCGCGCCCTCCCCAAATTATCGCTCGGAAAACAACAGGAGCGGCCCGCCGGCAGACGGGAGCGCACTGTCCGGCCAGACTAYGATAGCACCGCTCGCCCAAATCTCTTTTTTTTCCAAACAGGGCGTCACATTCCTCAACACTCGCATCTGGGGGCAGGAGCGCGGGAGGCGTGAGGGGTCGCGCGCAGTGCCCGCCCCGCCGCCGCGCGCCCCACGTCCGCGGCCGCACGCGAACGGGCGCGCGGCTCCCGCGCCGCGAATTTTCCCATTGGGCGGCGCCGCCGCGATCGCGCCCGGCAACCGGAGCGCCATTGGCGCGTTCCCGCCCCGCCGCGCTCTATTGGTCCGCCGGCCTGTCCGTCACAGCGCGGCGGTCCCGCCCCGCAGCGGGAGCGGCCGCAGCCCGGGGCGGGAGCGGGAGCGGGGCCTCGCTGCCCGCGCGGGAGAGCGGAGCGCCGGTGATGTGCGCTCGGTAAGAGCGGCAGGGACCGTGCTGTCACCGCCCTGGATGGCTGCGCACCCCCGACCCGCAGCGCGGCTCAAGGGCTGCAGCGCTCGGGAGGCTAAAGGCTGCCTCGCACAGCTGTTCGCCCGGAGGTGCCGGGCCCAGCTGGTGGCTGAAATGCGGTGGCGGAGGGCCCGTCAGGTGCAGCGCAGCCAGGTAATGCTGGCACGCGATCCAMATGGATTTGTCGAACTTGACCTTCTCGCCGTTTGCAGGGGTCTGTGCGCCGCCATCGTCACCTCTCGGCTTTGTCTTTGGTAACCTGAATAATTTGAGCTTCCTAAGCCCCTGTTTTATATCTTGTTATCTATTCCCTTCTTGTTATCGTGTTCCTCCTTTGAATCATTTCCTSTGTTTTTCCCCCACCCTAACCAGAAATGGTGCCAGAAAATGGTGCAGCGTTCCAATGTCCCTGTGCTGCTGACAAAGGCACGGTCATTCCTCTCTCCCCTATACTGTATTTTAAACATTAAATTATCTAGTTCCGTTTACCACAGTATTACCCTGAGAGATCACATTGAAATAGTAACAGCCAAATTTTTTGTGAGGTACTTTTTGCCATCCTTGCATTCTTTATTTCCAGATGCATTTCCTCACATTTTATAACATTAAAAATGCCATATACTGAACTGGGATGACTTAACTAGGCACATCAGACGATTTTGTAAACAGCTGTAAATTATMTACTCATTTATTAGGCCACAAAATTCACTAATAAATATCTTGCATCGTGTARACAATTGGTAGAGATAACAAACTGGATCAGAGCAAGAACTCATMTCTAGAAAACTATCAGGATCCCTGATGTCTCTTCTTTACAGCTGCTCTTTGAGACCTCTCAGGGAAAAGATACTTAATCTAAGGTGTGCTTTATGCATTCCAAATAGCATGCATTCCTTCACTTAAAGAACAAACTCTTTAAACAAAYGTCAGGAATATTTCTCTTTTAGTTTTTGAAACTAACTCAGGACAATTCTACAAGCCTTCATTAAATTTCTGTTTGTATTTCAGCTTTCTCCAAGAGAGGTATTGCCCTGACAGACAGTGCCACTCTCTTAAAGTGGACACAGAATCAGAGCCTGCTTGAGATCAGACTATTCAAGTCTGACAAACAATGGGAGCTATACACTGATCCCCTAGGAAAGGGTCTCAAAGGGACAACAATAACCAAACTGTTTAGGCAGAACAAAAGGTAGACAAAAGTAGAAGGAAGAGTCAGAATGGCCACCAAATCCAGTATTCACAAATTCTTGAGTGATTGATTTTGTGCAATCTCCTAAAAAGCTTTTTAAATTACTCTTAACTTATTCTAACTTCACATATATATTAAAAATAGAAAAAAAATTAGTAAAAACACAGGTTTTAAGCCTATGGACACTTTTTCTTCATCCCATGGATGTGACTGCTACTGTMGGTATGAAGAGTATCATCTGAAGATTTTTAATAGGTATGAAGCATAGAAACKAAACAATCTTTGGTCACAGTAATGAGTCTGTACTTTGAGACTCAAACAGAGTGTCAAAAAGAACAATACCTTACATTTAATGTGCATACATTTTACCAATTTCAATGTAATGGAGATTTGTATAATTTGTCTACTTGGTCATCAGATAACTGCTTTAAATAACAACCCTTTACCTGAAAGCATAAATACATTCTAGGTTTATATGTCTCAAGGTAATAACTGCAATCTATTATTGTGCTTCAGAAGCAATAGTACCAAGAATGATGATCATACACTCAGCCAGTAATTTTCATCAGTAGATCTCAAGAGACCTTGCGAAGGTCAATGTGATCATCCCCTTGTTGATGATGGAGAAGGAAAGCATTGAGATGARCTTGCTCAATGTCATGTGCCAGAGCMKTGCTAAAGCTGACAATTGACYTCAGGTTTTCTGTATYCACAATGAAAAGWTTTGCCTTGAAAGCCACCTACAYGTGGRATACCCTTGGGTATTCTTTTAATTRCTGTTTCACATCTTGTGTGTATTGTGTTCATCAGTGTTAGAATCGGGAAGAGCACTCCAGGCTTTTATGGTGTTTCCCTAYAGGCTTCATCATAAAATATATTGTAATTTACAGGCTCCAGTGGAACCCTCTATTGCCACGCATGAGAAAGAAGTCAGAAATAAAGTTTCATCTTGTTTGAAAAACAAAATGTTAATATTTCAGTAGGACAAAAACRTGACACAGATCCAATCCTAGCTTAAATCTGCAGATCTAGGTAAAATGATTGACTGATTATCAGTTCCAAGCATGCTGTGCTAATAACTGAAAGCAAATTTGACGTTGTCACGTGTGTTTTTCTCAATCCTCAAGAAAGCTGTCCTGGCTGGAATTCATCCCATTGCAAGCTCAGGGCTCAGTAACTTTGGGGGCTTTCTGGAAGCACAGTCTCTGCCGAAGATGATAATGGAACAGCATCCTAAACATGTGCCTTGTTCTAGACGAGTCAGGAGCTATGTCCAAACCCGATAAGATTGTCTAGATCCCAGTCCTGGGTGGATCTGTCCTCTGAGGTACAAGCCCTGTGAAAATCACATCAGGCATTTAATGTTATTATTTCACACCTTCATCGAGTCATAGAGTCGGCAAGGTTAAAAGAGACCTTGAGGATCAGGAAGTCTAACCTGGCATACCACTGTAGCCTCTATAAACCACTAAACTACACCTCCAGGGATGGTGACTCTGCACCTCCCTGGGCAACGTATTCCAATGCCTAACCACCTTAACAGTGAAACATTTTTTTTCTAATACCCGACTTTCCTCTCAGCTTGAAACCAGATATGCTGGCAGCAGGCTGAGGCAGCCAAAAAGCAGCTCACGCACTATGACTCCCCCAATGGCTGAGGGATAACGGGCCGGGTCGCACCGGCCCCTCACACACGGTGAGTGAGGGAGTGCAGGGCCCGGGGCTGAGGACAGGGCCGGCTGTCGGTCCGGGGGATCGGGAAGGTGCCGGTACCGGCAGCGCCGGCGGGAGGAGGAGCCGGGCCCGGGACTGGAGGACAGGATCCTGTCGGTCCGGGGGAACGGGAAGGTGCCGGTACCGGCAGCGCCGGCGGGRGGAGGAGCCGGGCCCGGCCCCCGGAGGGGCGGTGCTGCTGCGGCCCGGCCGCGCTCCGGAAACGGCGTGGGGAACGCGCGGAGCGGCGGCCGCGGGTGAGTGAGGGAGGGTTTGAGGGAGGGCGTGAGGGGCCGGGGGTCACCGTGCCTGCAGCGCGGGCTCGGACACGGCCCGGGGGCGCCGCACTGCCGCCAGCAGCCGGGAGCTGACGGGCCCCTGCTTCGGGGCGCTGTGTGTGCCGTTCCCGGCYACCGCCACAGCCCCGGCCCTCCCCGCCAGGGAAAGCTTCTCCTCAACGCCATTTCCTTAAGGTTTTTAGCCTAAATTTATCCAGCAGCGCCTCGGGGGATATTTTCAGGTGTTAGTTCACACCTGTCGTCTTTGGTTACGCGATGGTAATTGTTTCCTGCGTAGGTGGTGGCTGGTTGGTACTTGCGTTATGTACAGGAGTAATTTTAATTGTACAAGAGTAATAAAGTAATTTCTAAATTAAGTTTTAATATGCGGTGACCCTTTGAGGTCAAGAAATAGTCACAGAAAGACGGTGAAAACTACTAGTGTCTTTTGGTGGTTCCTCACTGAAGGAAACCTAATTGTACAATACCTGAAATTACAATGTTGTACAATACCTAAAAATCCCTCCTTTACCTAAGGAACAAGCTCAGCAAAAGGCTCATGGATCTGCAGATCCGTGGCTGAGGAGAAACTCGTGCTCTTGAGAAACTGGGGGAAAGGCTGTTCTACTGCAATCTTGTAAATGTTCCTAAAACATGGTGTGGTGAAAGGTTGTGTTTACTGGTGTTTGTTCCCCATGGGAGCTGTACAGTGGACCTAATTGAGTAAAACCAGAGAGAAATTAAGCAGCTGAGAATAAAATTAGCCCATTAAACTTGGGAGTGCCATCCACCTTACATGTTATTTTCTGTGTATCATGAGGGTTGTACTTTGCATTGCTGTCTCGTGCAGTGAAGGCAGACTTCACCTTGGTAGGGTGACAAAGCCTGGGTTACTTACAAATGATCTTTATAGGGAACAACCTGGAAGTATGAAATTACAGCTCCATCTATTCCGCTTCGTCTTTAGTTGTTAGTATTGGACAGTAGAGCATGTGCTACACAAGGGAAGTGCAAAAACAGAACAGTAAAATGTTTTTAAAATGCAGCTGTGAGACACTTTCCTCTGAGAAAAAAATAAAAATACTACTTTCAAGAACTAATCAAGCATCTCTTATTTTTGATGATTTTGAAGTTCACTGGTAAAAGAACCTAATGTCACTAGTGCAAGAAAATGCATCCAATTTTATGATCCTTCTATGGGCATTTAAGGACTGTAGTGCTCAGTTTCATTTGGACATTCTCAAAAGGGACAGTAAAATAGTTCTGTACTCTGCTGACCACAAGTTATTGTTGTGGTACATAAAACTAGCAGTTTCCAGTGACTAATGATTTTTAGCTGTGTTTCAGACTGCACCTAAACAATAGTTTTGGATCAGTTGAGAAGCAATTGAGATCACTGTRGTAACTGACAGATGTTATTTATGATGCTTCATTTGTGAATACAAAATACATAACAAATGGCTTCATTTTTCAAAACCTGCTACTGGGAATTCTTAAGGGTATAATAGTTTTATGCCAAATGGTGAACTGATTGCTTCTAATCAACCAAATGATGGTAGAACCCTATGAAGAGAACATACACAATCTATCATGTTTGGGTCTCTTGATAGTCCCTCTAAATGCTACCTTATGCTGGCGTGTATCCATTCAAGCTTTTAACAGATCCTTCAAATGAGCAAAACAACACACTGTGCTGTCTACCAGAGTACAGTAGCATAGAACAAGAACGTTAGTTACTTTAATGTCATTTCCAAATTAGTGATGCCATTTGGAGCAGAACGCTTAATTACAGGATGTTTGTGGTTCTTGTCAAGCTGGTTTGGGTGTATTAGGCATGAGTTGGACAGCAAACTAGAAACATTACAGAAATAGGAGATTGTTGCTATCATGTCATCCTTGGTAACTGTTGTCTTATTGACTAGGAATAAGGACACTGGAATTTATAAAAGCTCATTATCCAGAGAGTATTAAGTCTTCACTAGGTCTCCAACCTAGAGCAGAGGGTACCAAAAGTCRTTGCTTGCCTCCTTTGCCAGTTAAGTGTTGTTGCTATTTTAAGGGGTAGCTCTGTTTTATCTGGCTTAAACACTTCTGTCTAAACAAAAAATTTAAAAAAAAAAAGGTTGGACTGTTTATAGGGGGCCTATACACACTTAYGCTTGTCTCAAGGCCGGCAGATGGAGCCCAAGATAAAACATGCTGGTTTGATTAGAGTTAATAAAAGCATTAATGTAACTTAAAGAGCTGTAATAACATCAAGCAGGGTTGATGGGGTGGCAAAAAGATGGTTCTGTCAAAGTAGTAGTACCTAATARTAATGGTTGGGGATTCTAGGAAGGTCTTGAAGTGTTCAAAATATTTGTCCTTCTAGATACTTGTGATGAGAGTTGAAAACTTATTTTGCTGATGTTTTCTGACTGGCAGTTTCTGTGTAATCTTTATGCTGGCCAGTAACTTTGCATGAACAGCTGGACTGAATTGATTATTTCAAGGGAACTCAATAAATCAGCTAATGGAGCCTGAAACCTGTTTATTAAAATAGTAGTCTTATGAGTGATTAATTGCAAACAGTTTTTTATTAAGTAATCAATTTAATTATCTGGCAAGACACCTAATGAATACTAGGAGCCATATCTCTGTAGTCAGCAAGAGTACTCAGTGATAGTTGTCCATTAAAATTGTATTTTGGATCCCTGCTTTCACTAAGTGAGCTTCTTCGGACTTTGCCAAAAAAAAAAGGTTTTAAGGATTCCTTACCATACTCATGGTAGTGCCGTAGATGGAAACCTCTAAAATCATATATTTGAGGGTGATCTCTTCTGAGCTGTGAGTGTTGTTTATGGAATAGTTTGTATGTAGAAGATCCAAATCTTCCAGAACTTGTAGGTCAAGTACAGTATGATTGCATTCTACTGAAAATTCATCAATAGTCTGAGAAGAGGCATATCACTTTCTCAAAATTGGTTAGATTTTCTATATAAAGCTGTCTATGGGTCTTYTAAAACACCTGGCTAGTAAGTCAGTTATCTAGAAGTCAAGACTATGATTTCATTTCATGATTATTTTTCTAATGCAGTTGTTTTGATACTGACTTGATAAAGTCAAAGAAAGCCAACAGTATGATTTAATTCAGTGTTCTCAATGCCTTATTGTGCAACCTGTTAAACAGAAAATAGTTGKGATAGCTGTGCTATTGCTGCTCTTAGCTCAGAGATTATGAGTCAACTCAGGAGGGAAATTCCTTTTGTCAGCAAATAGAATTTAAAATATGTGTATATATGTGTGTGTGTGTATTTTGAGGTTTATTTTTATACACACATACACGKTCCTGTGCACTAATTTCCTTGTCAAGCATGTCAGGAGTCTTGCACCTCASTTTGAGTTATTTCATGTCCTGCAGCAGAGGAGCCTCTTTGCAGGATATTAGATTGCAAGACTGAACTTGTGCCATGACAAGAGCAGGCTGGTTATGGTGCTGAACTGTGACTTAGCAGGAGCCATCAGCTACTGGCAATCTGTTAGTTTGAAAAAAAAATCTGTATAAATGCTGCACTTGCAGCTCTGCTTCTGGTAACATGAAAGGTGGTCAAGATGATCCGTTTCCTGATATCTCTTCTGACAAATTATGTAGAGATTAAAGAGCAAGAGAGGCACTTTCTACGTATTTTGAAAATATGGTTAAAAATCATGGATTGCTTAAATGGCCTTAAAGTTGTGGTGTTGAATTCTGCCTCCCTTTCCCCTTGACTTACCCTGAAAGCCCTTGCATGGTAAAAGCTCTCAGCAGCAGTAAAAAACGGTTGTGTGTCATTGGGTGGTAGCATTCTGATAATTGTTTGAGCAGCCACAAACAATAAAGATCAGGCTACGGTTTTATTACCAGAAAAATGTTAATTGGACAACACAAAATATTTGAAAGCTGTTTTGTTWGTTTGAAATGGAAAGCACATTTGTCATACCATCTGCATGGCCAGAATTTTAAATATAGCACAAGTGCTGGAAACTCCTCATSAAAAYGTAARCTCCAGACACAAAATGTCCAGTGTATTTCTGTTTGTACCTGACTTTTTATGCAATGCTAACCAATAGTTTATCCTTTGATAATAGCTTGGCCTAAAGTATGTTTTATTTGCAGGTTTGTGAGTGTCTTTAATCAAGCCTTTTATGGCTTCTGCAACAGTTTGAGCCTTATTTTCTTTATTCTCACAGAAGCATTTGCCTTACTAAGGAGAGGGAAAAGAAGTAAAGGTACTTTAGTGGTAATGAGGAGAAAATTTCATGTACTGCTARCACTCTACACTTTATTAGTATTTTCCTGATGCAGGTTTCTTTCSTAAAARTCTGAACTAGCCAGGCATAACTTTGAAAACACTACCGGAAGAATGTGGTTAGTAGACCAATCTTTAAAACTAATCTGTTTTGGAAGTTGTATTTTATTTATTTATTTTTATTGTGAGCTGTTAGTACATTGCCATCCTTGAACTTCAGCATAGAAGAGAGTTTATCTTTTTATAATTTTCAGTGTAATAGGTAATCTTTATTTACGTTTTAGRCTATTACAGAATGACCTTGCATTGAGCCTTTGTGGAAGAAGCAAGATTTAAACATCGGTTCTTCAATGTGCATCCTTCTATTCAAATTTGACCCCCGACCAGTTTCAAAAAATGCATACAGGTAAGATGGTTGTAGTTAAACCAGACTCACTTCTGTAATTTTTTGCACAATTTCTTTTTGTAGCTGGGGTGTGAATTACAAACTCGAGTCAGTATTACATGMTCAGTTGTGTGTTTAACTTCATGACTTTACCTGTTGTAGGGGTTATTGCAACTTTTTGGGMACCCTTTGGTTTTAGATTGTCAGAAGTCTTGGGCTTTGTAATCACCACCTTTTGCTGGTGATCTGTCRTGTGCTGTATAAGTCCTTTGAATACTGTACTCCAGTTTTTGAAAGTCCTGCCTGCTACTTTATTACTTAAACTAAGTGGAATCCTGTTTGTTGGACATCACAGTTGTAGCTGTSCCCTGCTTTCATGATGGTATATCCGTAGGGCTTCCAGTTTGCAACCAGAAAACTTCCAGTAAGTGTCCTAGCCCTTCCCCTCCCCAAAATCTGCTTGCAGTTAAAATTATAGGCAATAAACTGTAAGTCATGTGTATGAAATGYTTAGCCAAAACCTTAAGAAGAATAAGCTTGCATGCTTCTAGATAAGTTTACAAGAATRTATTGATGTCATACAGTGAGTTTTCAAAATATTAAACTTCCTGTAATCATTTTCTCATTATAGTCCCTAATTTTTAAATTTCATATCCTACATCAATATCTTTGGGTACACTGAGTATGTAATAGAAAGATAGCACTTCAGGCCATAAGCAGGCTGTCAAGGTTTATTGCTTTCTGTATTTATRTATACTGTGTAGGTTCCACATTACTGTGTAGGGTACAAGTATTGATATTCATCCAGAAACCATCWGAGTCAGTCTGCTCAGTAAATGGTTGTGCCTTTCACTGACTTRTTTTCCTGTCCTCTTGTATTAAGAAGCAGATGCCATTCTATAGAAAGAAAGGAAATGAGAACTGAAACCTCGCTTGTCCACAGAGTGCATTCCTCTCTGCATCTGGAGCCTGCCTAAAAAGGGGTTTTGTTTATGATGTGACTGGTGCTGAATTAATATATCCATTTATTTGGTCTGACTTCCTTTGTGTTGGTAGTTAGCAAAAGACAGAYGCATCAATTTGATGCCTCTTGGGAAAATCCTTTGGATGTGAACTGCAGTTACTTGCCAAGTGAACTTTCTGCCATGATCAATATTTAAAAGTAAAACTTAGAGTAGTTTGCTTGCTATAAAAAATTGCATTGAGATTGAAATTATTAATTTATATCAGAAAACAACTAGCTGCCAGTGCCAGAACAGGACAACACTTCTGAGATGCTTGGCCCAAATTCAGAGGTATTTAATTGTATGTAACTTTTTCGGTATGTTTTATTAAGCAGTGCCTTGCTCTGTACCTCTGAAATAAATCACTCTGATTCACCTATTTGGGTGATAAATGCCAGGCCACAGTGTTCTTGGTCAGATTTTAACGTCAGATACATAACTATAGTYCTTTTGGTTTTCTCCTTAACACACCATAACTAAATCTATTTGCTTTTCTTTTTCCAGAAGAATGTTGAACTTCTTTCTTTTTAAATTGTTCCTATTTTTTTCCCATCTTTGCCTCAGTTTTCTGAAGGACCATAGGTGTGAGTGTCACTTGGGGGTGTTCCCCAGCCCTCCTAATTCCAAGCAGTATTACAGCCATTAGACCAGGTTAGATGTCTCTCTTACTAGTCCTTGCTAAGGGTAATCTTTCTTGACAGCTCGAGCATCACTGTGCTGTAGTTCTGTTTGTTTCCTGGTGAGGTCTTGGAACAGTTTTCTCAACCAGAAGGGGATTCCTGTACCTGCAGACATACTAATTTGTCTGTCCATCACGAAGCAGGCAATTAAACTTTCCTTACTGTTCTCTGCTTTGCATCTCTAGCTAAGAGAAAGTGTCTGTAATAGGCATTAAAAGCTGACAAACAAGTTTTCATTGACTGGATTTACTGGCTAGAAAAAAAATGGCCAAGCTAAAACATGTTCTCTGCAGCACTTTCTGGAGAATTTTCATCCAGGTAGATTCTGGCGTCTAGAGCAGTACATTGTCAAATTTTCTTGAGCACCTAATTAAGCAAAGAGCTCACCCWTGTGACACACTAACAAATCCATCTGCCTGTACCTTTGCAACTTGTTCCATTTTCTCCCTTGGGGCCTATTTGTGGTAAAGTTTAGTGCAATGTAACAAGCACTTTACTGTAGTCCATTATTGTTGTCAGMGGTAATATATTGCCTTTACATCTTTTTGTATAGTACTGTCTGCATCTTACAAATAAATGTTTCAAGCTTCAAAGCTATAATCACGGGCTGTTTTCTGGAGCTGAATTGCGTTATAGGAAATTGCTTTAATGGACTGATTTCTCATGTTTTCATTTCTCTCGWTATTAAAATAAATCTTGATGTGTAAATCCTAATACAGTTGAATTATTTCAGCTATAAAAATAGCTGAATAGGCTTTTTGCAATTTATTAGAAGATGAGGGTCACTTAATATTGCTCCTTTTCAGTATAATTATGTTTCATAAAAGACAAAATAAAGATCTTTTATTATTATGCTCTTGTAAACTAGCCTTGTGCTAAATTTTGGAGTCTGCATTAAATTTGAGATGGGGAATATTCAATCACACAAGAAAGACTTCACTTATTTTTGGTATTTAGATACTGTAGTTTCATGTCAAGAATCATTGAAGGCAAAGTATAATTGAAGCTTCAGTAGATGAGAAATGCACTTCAGCCAAACTATTTTTTAACAGTGGAGATGTTCATTTAAATAAAAAAAAATCTGTGAAAGAAGGCTGCATGCTGTTARTGCAGCATGTTGAAGTAACATGACAGAAATTTGATAAACCAGCAGAAAGCCTAYAGCTCAAAGATTTAAATTAGCTAGAAGAAATTATTTAAGTTTGAAAGGAACAATAYTATATTTGCATTGGAAAGATAAAAATGTACCTACAGTTTGYTTTCCAACAGATGCTATCTTAGTTGGACAAAATACTGAGCCYTTACAGAAAGGATGCTGKTGAAGTGTTAGGTTTTTCTAGTTTCTCTAGAGTTRATGATGATTCTTTTTCTGTAGTATTTCTAGTGTGCAACTTGCACCTTTTAATCCTCTTCTAAAACAGTGTATTAGGGAAGAGATGAATCTRCAGGAAAGTTCAGAAACCTGTAGAAAATGTCAGTACATCTGAATGCTGAATAWAGTAATGAGCTGTCATTGGAATTGATTCTTGTGTGTTGTGGCTAAAAATTAGAAATAAAATTGTATGGTCTGTCTTCGGTTTCCAGTAGCAAACTTGCCTTCTGCTGTGTAGATGTAATTGAGATGCAGCTGGTAGGAGGAACTGACAGTGAAGAGGATACTGAGGTTATGGAAAACTGGTTAAGAAAATCTGCAGGTTTTTGAAAGATGGCATTTCATTAAAATTAAATTAAGCAGCATAGCTGGAGAGAAAGGGGAGCATTCACTGTCTTGCAATTGAAATAAAGGTAAGCCTTGTTGTGGGTACTGATGAGCAGGACTTTGGGAGCTGTGCTGGAGCTGTGCAGGGCTTTCTGCAGTCACCTGCTGCYCTGAGCCTCCACACAGGACTTCCCTGGGGTCACAGGTGGCTTTTACCTTTACTTGGGTCAGCCAGATCCATTACCTGCTCCTCAGGTGAAGATGTTCTACCAATAAAAACACTTTTAAAAAATTCAAAATAGTAGTATTTCTTTAACTAAGCTGTAAATTGGTGATGAGGAATATTAAGGTTGTTTATGCACTCTTGGTTCAGTGCCTTCTGTTGCAAGTGTTATTTTTTGAAAATACTCATGGCCTTATTCACTGACAAGATGGACTTGCTGACTGTCTCACAACTGTGAGAGAGAAGGCTGCTGTCAGATGTCAGTCGATCTTTACACTGAGTGATAAAAGGTGAGATGRGAGATAAAAGGATGGTTTCATGCTTAAAATGACTTAATACCATGGCAAAAATTGGATTCTGCTCCTGYCTGTACTGTGAAGTTCCAATTTGTAAGTAATAGTGTCTTTTTTYCCTCTTGTGTTCTACAGGCTTATTCTAGCAGCTAATAGGGATGAATTTTACCACAGACCGTCCAAATCAGCCGACTTTTGGGACAGCAGCAATGAGATCCTTAGTGGTATGTATGTCTTGATGTTTTCAGTGGTTTTAATATAATTTATAAGGGAATCAGGGCTTTTTTATTATAAGGATGGTGGTGTTGCCTTTCTAATAAGAAATTTTCTTCCTTATACTTTTGAGGAAAATATGTTGTAAGTTTGAAAGATTTTTTTTTTAATTTTGATGTATTTAATAACCTGACTCTTACTTATTCCATTAGGTCTGGATATGGAGGAAGGAAAAGAAGGTGGGACATGGCTGGGAATCAGTAAGAAAGGCAAGATGGCAGCYCTGACAAATTATATGCAGCCAAAGATTGATAAAAATGCAAAAGGAAGAGGTATGAAAGAATTGAAATCAGTAATAATAAAAAGAATGTCCTGTTGTTGCAGTACAGTAGGAATAGTTATAATATTAATTTTCTTAACACAGCTTTGTGGACAAACAGAATGTTTTTCTGCTGTAAGCAGAATTTTTGAACGGATGAATTTGAATATGTGTGTGAGGAACTTGGATAATGATTTTTTGGGGCAAAAGTAACACAAGGTGTAGTGCCTAAAACCTGAAGTCACATTCAGACAAGAAATGCAGCACTGTCTCCTCTGGAAAGTAATTCTAATTAACAGGCCAAGCATTGAGCTAGTTTTAGATTACAGTAGATATTTTTAGAAGTGTATATTCATATTCAAACGCCTGCATCAGGGTACGCATCTTGGATTATGCTGGAGGTAGCCTAAAAGATTTCTTCTTCCCATTGATAAATCAGAGGAGCAGAAATAATAGGAAAWGCCCTCTTTAAAAGAGGATGTTTAAAAGAGCATGTTTATGTTTTTTTTTAAAGTCAAAAAAGATCTGTTTGTAGCTGTCATAAGGCACTGGATTGAGAATATATTGCAATGACAAAACATGTTATAAAGAGAAACAAATGAACCATGTCATTTGTATTTCATTTTAGGGTCATATATCAGGGAAATGAAGCAAGACAAGAAAGAATTTGTAAGGTGGGAGGAGAGGAAAGGCACATTCAGTCTACAGTAGTTASTAAATGTGAATTCTGTAGAATTTTTGACCAAGAGCTTTTGACTGAGTTCTTCAGAATAAAACTCAAGCTCTTAATGTGAGCACGGTACAGTGAGACTTTCAAGTGAGAGACTTCCACTTTGAAAGTAAGACTTTCAAAGGTTGGTTCATTATTTGGTTTGATTTTGTAGTCTGGGGTTTATTTCCACTGTTAACAGGCAACAGGAATCTTTATCTGTTTGTTTTACCAGGCCTGTCAGAATAGTCAGCACACACATACAAGTTGCTCTATGTACTTCTCTTTCTTAGGTGCTCTTGTAACAAACTTCYTGACTGCAGATCTGGACAGCTACTCTTACTTGAAGAAAGTTTCAGTAGAGGGACATCTTTACAATGGATTTAATTTATTAGCAGCTGACTTGAAGTAAGTCTACWAAACATTACAGTTCCAATGTCAGAGGGAGAAAGATAATAGCAGTGCAGTACATACATGTCATAGCACCTAAGTAACAATACAAAAGCCTGTCACAAACTAAAGTTAGAGCTCATGTTTTATACTAATTGGCATGCAAGGTCCTAATTTTACTGTAGTCATCCTTTCSTTTTGTTTTCTTTATCTTTCAGACAATGGAGGGCTATCTTGTGTTCTAAGCATTGCTTCCCACAAGTTTTTGTGATGCCCTGATAGSCTGTAGCCAGTCTTTACCCTCAAGGCTCTGGGGCTTGTGTTTTGAGAAMACAAAACCTTGGCTCATAATTTCTCAAACCCCTTTTTTCTCTGAGAGGTGACATGCTACAGGAATAGAACAGCTGAAAGCTTTCAAGCTATTATTCCTGTCAGAGTGGCTGTGTCATTAATCTTTCCTGAAACACTAAAAATCAGCACAAGACAACATATGTTAACTTAAAGTTTCTGTAGCTGAGAAAGGATGTTGGATACTTGATTATGGTCAGTGTGGTTGGCACAGTCCTTTCCACTGCACGTACTGCATGCACATGTGTGTATTCTCAAAGTACTTCACCTGGTGGTTCAGACTTATCAGTCAGTTCTGTGAAGATAACCTTAGTGTATTTCTGCTTGGTGGGCCTGCTTAGGAATAAACATATAGGTTATGTTTCCAGAAATTCAATCAAGCAGCAGGCTATGCAGTTGGAGGGTTTGGTGCTTTTTAGTCTTTTTCCTCTCTACTTTACAAAGTTCAKTGTCCCACCAGAGACTTCCCAAAATTTTTCAGTTGCTTAAATTAATTTTTACCACGATCAGGGATTTGACTTTTTGTGCTTCCTGTTGTATGTTGCTGCCTGGCTAAATTGTATAAATTGGAAGGCTCTTTTTAACTGAAAAGGCAGCAGAAAAAAATAGCCTTAGATGTTTTCAAGCAAACATTGTATTTAAGATGTGACCTAACAAGCAGTTAGTTTGAGTTGTTTTGTTTTCATGTAGGTAAATAGAATAGTCATAAATGGCTGCTTGTATGATGATATTAAAGTAGCTTTGATTGATGTTACGTAAGGCAATCATTCCTGTGTTGGTTTTGTTTGTTTATTTCTCCATGCTGGGCTGATAGAGAGTTGTATGCTCAATTGAATAGCCTTTCCGTGGTGATACAGGCCATAATTCCTTGTTGAGTATCACTCTGAAAGCTGAGTGTGTTGATTAACTTCTTCATTTTGACGTGTCCTTAGCCTTGGATATTCTGATGAAATGAAATTCTTGGCAAGCTAATGATGCAGAGCAATTTCAATAAGATTTGTAAACTTGTCATTTTAGGAAATTAGAATTACTCCTAAGAGGAATGTGGTAGATGAATGGGAGCTACTTCTTTGTGTAAATAGAAAATGTTATTGTAGTTGATGCTGTTTTGTTGGGCCATGTTACTGTTCAAAACAAAGATTGAAGACTCTCCTTAACGTGTTGTTSCATTRTGTAACAAATAGTGATTGGCTCTGYYAGACTGTGTGAAATGAAGAGGAAACTCAGACTGAAAGTGTAAATGAAGCAGTGGTGGGGGGATGTACCTGAGTACATGATACTGCTGACTGTAAGCAGTATATTTAGAGAGATTCACAATGTTTGAATCTTCAGGTTCACCTTTCAGAAAAAGAAATTGTCTTCTCGCTGTGTAATTATGATGACAGTATGCTACATGACAGGTGCAGTAATATGAGAAAGAAAGCTGGAAACAGCTATACAGGTTGTAAAATCTCATTGTTTATTTCCACAGCTTGGTGTGACTTATTTTTAATATGCATGGGTTTTGACATTTTTAGTGTAATAAGCTGTTTACTTTCTGGGATCTCTTGATGTCAATTTAAATACTATTGATTTCTTGTTTTAAGAAAATTACTTAGTACTTTTATTTTTCTGATTTTTCAGTTTATCATCTTGGGTGTACCTGCTGAGTATAAGAGTCATGAATATTTATCCAGATATGCTAAACATACTTTTATGTTGAATTATAGCATGTAGCAAACAGTGTCTATTTGGAATCTTGTGCGACTGCAGAATTGGCTTCCAGGAAGGCAGTGTTGCCACTCCTCCCATTTTGACTATCCACAGGTCTGATTAGAGAGGAATAAGGTGATCAGAGGCTGGACTGGTCTCTAAATAAATATCTGCGTAAGATTCAAAGGGGCTTTCCTTCTTTCTCCCTTTGTGCTRGTACCTGAAGGCAGTAAGCAGCTTYTGTTGATGGTGAGGACATCATTTCAGTCTTGGTGAAACCTGTGTTTATGTCCAACAAATCTCCTGCTCCACTTACTTAGGCATTCATGGGTATCTCAAATTTGTGTCAGGGCTGTAGTGGCAGCATCTCACTTGTGCTAGTTACTGCCAAGTGTGTAACACAGACTGCTCTGAAGGACAAATTGGCAGCTTCTCATCACCCACCCAGCAAGTTTAGAGTCTCTGACAGGTTGTCAATTAGAACCCATATAGTTTAAGTATAACAGGAGTGAATCACTTTCTCCATGACGAATAGACAAATTGTCCCTTACAAACAAGTCAGCTGGAGGGGATTGCAGAAGAATGCCTTTTGGGTGAGCTCTTCTGCTCTCCCCAGTCACAGCCAGCTTTCAATTCCTGCAGGGAAAATGTCGTAAATGGTACCATCACCTGCAGGCTCTGGTTCAGCATGGTTACCATGACCTGGAAGGATTTTATTCTCTCCAGAGATTGGATTTAGGCAACTTTGCAGTACAGAGTGAGATAGGGTCAGAGTGCTGGTGTGGAAAGAAAACAGATGGTCAAGTCACCAGGATTGCTCTCTAAGCCATTTGCATTTCTTCTCATGAACTGTCCAAGTACAATATCAGCTTTTTACTGTCTTGCTTCTTGTGGCTCCCTCACAAAAATGAGGTGTTTCTGCATAGATCTTCAGTCATTTCCAGTAGACGGATGGACAGTCCAATGTCAAAAGAAAAATGCTTCTGAAAAACTTCTTTCTTTTATCTCTTTCCTCTGGTGYCAGCTTTTGCCTGGCCCAAAATATTAGGTAAACACCAAAGAAATGTTCAGACACTGAMAACAGATTCAGAGTAGTACAAAGYAGTACAAAGTCAGACTTAGTATTYTATGAGTATCYAGCAGAATTCTTTTCACCATTTTATTTYGGTAGGTGCTATGTTTGGGCTTTATAGTTGCTGGTTTGGTAGTTTGCTTGTTTTTAGCTTCAGAACAGAAAGAGTTTTCTGGTTAGGTCATGAACATTGAAGAAAAGAAAATTAATCTGTGAACCATACTACTTATTTGAAACTACKGTACAGCATTTCAAGCTGCCAATTTCATCTTTTGTCCTTGCACAAAAAATACATGCACACATTATTCATAAAACAATCCAATGTCCTTGTCTGTAAAATATTCACCCTGTTTGCATAGTAGAGCTCAATGCCCAGGGGAGTGATCATTTGGTGGAGTGGAGCTGTAGAGCTTTACTGTCTCACTGCTTTTTTTCTTTCATTCTGCGTTTTTGTTGGACATAACTTGGAGCCACCTTGAAGCTGAAGCAGGGCAGGGTGCAGAAGGACATTGCTTATGTTTCATCAGCATTAAGAAGTGATTGTGGCAAGCTCTGTATGGGTTCCATGTTGCTGTGAAGCTTCTATTACTAAGATTTATGCTGCCTAGAATATTTCCTAGAACATTTATTATTGCTTACATTTTTTGACAGAATGATGGATCTAAGAGCATAATTTTAGTTTCTTTCTGCTGTCAGCTATGGCTGGGATTTAAAAATATGTCTATTGGGTCCTATTGTCATCACTTTCATTATGCCTTTATTACTTCTCCAGTGAAATTGGTATCTATACTTGTAAGGCTGGGAGGGAAGAAAATCTTGAGCATGGGCCAGGGTTTTGAGGCTATTGCTGTGATCAAGCTTACAGTGATCTTTTTTTCGTCTTGATTTCTGCTTTGATGTTCAGTACTGAGTACCTGTATGTTTACATAGGAAGGGAATAGGCAGAGCCAAGTGATAAAAGAAAGAGTAACTGACTGGCACAGTGAACTAAATTTTGAAAGTATCCCCATTTCAGAAGTCTCTTGGGAGGCTTTAGTCCTCTTTTGACAGAAACAGTGACAGCGTTGCAGTGGAGGAAAGTGAAAACACACATCTGGGGAAGTGTGGGTACAATACAATTGAGACATCCAGAATTAGTGACCCTGCAGTTTGAATGCATTCTCCATCTTCTAGATAAACTCCRGGGGATCTTGCTACTGAATTTGTCAGTGACAAAAACCTCGACAAGATGGTAGAGGATTATATTCTTTCACATAAAGCCATTCTAAAAGAAGTCAGCAGTGGCTACTTACTCAGCATGCAGTCTCATCTATAATAAGACTTGTCTTAAAGCTGTGTTCCAGAGCTTCCTTGGGCCATTTGTCCACCTTTCCATCWGTCTTGTGAGACCTCAGGTGATAACAATTGCTCTGATCTTTTCTCCTCAGAGACCTTCTACAGCAGGTATTTGGAAAGAGAGTAGTTAATGCACCAATAAAATAGTTTGTGTAATTGCTGATGCCTTAACTGAGAGAAACTAAGATGGGCAATTGTCTGTGGAGAGTTCAGGTGGTCAGTAGGTCTTGACATGAGCATAAGGGAAATTTGAACAAAGACCTTAAGGATGAGAGAAATAAAGATAAGGAAAATAAATGTCTTTTAAGTCACTAGAGGAAAGTTCAGAAAAATTACACATTTCTTGAAATGGTAAATAAATTGCAAACTTAGTAACTGAGGGCTTCTTGTATGATATTAAACAATAGAAATGGAGTACACAATATGCCTGCTGTAATTGCTGTCTTCTCCCTATGTTGAAAAACTTGATCATCTTTCTGTTGGGTATCAGAAATGTCTCATGGGTTTGGGAGGAGGAAGAGCAGTGCACAGAGAAAGGCAGTTGTATTTTTGCTTTCTGTGGGAGTTCTTTGTATTCCTCTTCTTGACTCCTCTGACTTCTATAATTAATAAGTTAATATTTCCTTCTTCATTTGGCTGTCTTGCAAAGGACATTGTAGAATGTCTTTCATAATGGCTTTTCAAGAAGAGTATAAACAGCTAAATCAAGACTGTTTTGCTTGTTATTAAGGTTTGAGTAGCGGATGCTAAGTTATGCAGAGCAATTTAAGTTCCAGTACATCATTAATGAGATTGCACTCTATATACTCTGATTTGCATCAGCACAGAGATACTCCTTTTTATCTTAAGAAAAAATRAGGAGCTGGAAATGGCTTCTCTCTTGTATTATATTTTATGCTGCTTACTCCAAATTCAATCTTAGCTGCAAGTTTTGTGTTTCTTTGGGTTTGGGCTTTTTTTCAATTTAAAAAGTCTATCTGCTGTCTAAGGAGCTGGAGCTTGGGAGACAAATTAAAAGCTGAACTATGTTCAGAATGTGTTGGTTGGTAGCTTAGAGCAAGTRAATCACTAGGGGGAAGTACAGAATTAGATCTCATTGCTGTATTCTGGCAAATTAGGAAAAAAAAAAGCCAAACCCCACCAACTGGAAGTGATCTGAGGAATCACTGTTCCATGTCAGCTGATTGAGGGATGTTGAGAGTGAGCCATCTAATGGCAATCCATTTCACACAGGATGCACAAGGCTTATTGATGATTTTCTTTTTATTTTTTCCCTTATCAGTTGGTTTGGTGTTTGTGTTGTCAATAACGGTGTGACTGCTTAAGTCTCTGCTGTTTGGATACGCTGATACCATCTCTGTCAAATAAGGGTTGTTTGCAATGTTGGAAGCTGTCTCTAAACCTTGTGCAAGATCTTCCCTGTACTCTGTGCACAGGAGAGAGCGAGTGCAGTAGCCACTGCCTACAGTTACCTGAAAACAGCCCCAAAATGCACAAAGGACCCAGCTATGCCCTGCGGCATTGCTGGAAGGGGGCCTAAAATGCACTTCTGCCATCTCAAATAGCCCACAGCAGTCAGTGCCTTAGAATGCAGGAACAATTCAAAAGAGRTGATGGGGAAAAGGTACTTGCTGTGATGGACAGTTCCTTTGTTTCCACCAAGTTCCTTTGTTTCTCCCAAGTAGCTTAATCCCCAGTTAAACAAAACCATACAGATTTTTGTCATTAAGCCTGACTACTTCCATGCAGAAGTTATGGGGTTTTACTGAATTTTATTGCAGTTACATTTAAAATTTATAATGGTACTTCTTGATAGTGGTGCAGCTAAAACTGTTTTGAGAGGAGGAGGTAATAAAGCTCATCAATGTCTGCTATCATAGGAGTAACAGTGGGAGAAGCATCTTACTGTGCTTGAAGATTGCATGAAATTAGAGCATAATCAAATACAGAAGCTGATGGCTTTTCAAGGAGAAATTTGTATTTATGTTTTTCAGTACCACCAAAGGGGATGTAATTTGCTACTATGGAAACAAAGGAGARCCAGAACCTGTCTTCCTAAATGCTGGTAGGTTTTCTTCAGAAGGGTCTGAATATTACCTTATGTAGCTGTRTGTTCTAGTAATTTAGCTACTTAAGCATTGTCTTCACTGGCTTTTTTTTTTGCATTCTTAAAAAAAAAAATTAAATGTCCTTGAATTCATTTAATTTTTTGCTAATACATTTCAGTAAAGAATCAATAGTTCACTAAAAGTTTCTATCCATGTCAGTGTACTCACCCTTCTAGGTGTCTGCAGAGGRTACCAAAGGTAATTTTGGTCTCCATGCTTAGACAACAGATTGATTTTCTGTGTACATGGCTGCCTTTAGGAAGAGAGGATGTTTGGTTATCCCTTGTCTGGTTTGTGGTGAGATGGTGCCTCTAAAGAGAACGGTCCTTCTTGTCATCCAGTGTTGCTTTGCAGTGTTTTTCAAGAGTAAAAGAAAGATAAATTATGATTATACAGCTGAAYTGGACAAGGCTAGACTACAGAAATTATGTCATTCTGTTGTGCCTTCTTGTTTAGCAAACCAGAAGTTCAAATGAACTGCTGTAGATATGGATTAGAGTACAACTGAAACCAAGCACAGAGGAGTGCTTAAGCACAGCCCCATGTGAGATGGGAGCCTGCTGTATTCTCCTGTTTAGTAATGGGGGTTTGTGTGTTTATGGCACACCTGCAGTTAAAGGGTAGCTGGGGAATCACTTATATTTTATTAAATTTTTAAAAATCTGTAATGACAACTGAAATCACCAGAATACACTTTCCAATTAAAATGGGGGTTGTTTTGTGTGTGTATGTGTAGGAATATATGGATTGAGTAATTCTTTGTTGGATACACCATGGAAGAAGCTTCAATATGGGAAGCAGCTCTTCACAGAAGTGGTCAAGAGAAGTCAAGACCTTACCAAAGAAGACTTGGTGAAGGAGCTTCTTACAGTGATGAATAATCAAGAACCGTAAGAACATGAGTTCACTCATAATACAATATGACCCATTTTAAAAAACACATGTAGAAAGTGTTTTAAAAGARAAAARGTGCTTTACCTTTTTATTAATTGAAGGYAGTGTTCTCACAGAGCTTGACTTTCAACAGTATTGATTTYTAAGCAGGAGACACGGTTAAGACTCCTGCAGTCTTAAAACTCATCAGCTGTGCACTGGTTTCTCTGTGCCCTTTTCTGTTAAAGATTGCACTTCTCTTAGTAAGGACAATGAGTGCATGACTGGGGATATGTAAACTGCTTGCTGTCAGCWTTTTGGAGGTTCAGGTATATTTGGTTACTGCACTTAGAAGGTTTACATGAGAACTCAGGCATCTGAGCAATGAGTAGTAATTGGGAAGCCTGCTAAGCTGTCTTAATTGCTTTTTTTTCATCTGCTGTCAGATCAAGTGWTTTTTTTAAAAAATGTTACACTTTTTACTAGTAAAAAGACAAAGGTATGAGATACAATATAGTCAAATGATCTTCCCTTAATGTTCAGTAATTCCATTTGATCCCATCTGAAACCATCTGACTRTAAAAGGGAAATATTTACTTACAAAAAGCAATATTTAAAACTAAGCCTGTAATCTTTCCAAATCATACTTCAAGATGAAATGATCTTTTCATAATAAATATGAACATGTGGATATGCACTAGCTTTGAACTTTCTTAAAATATCCTGTTTCATATTRCTTTGTGATCACTTTGTGTGTGCATGTTACAGGAATTTAGTGGGTACAGGGGTTGGTTTCATCACAGAATTCCATTCTTTCCTGATGGGTTTTTGTCCTTTACCCCTGTCTTCTGCTTCAGGCCTGTCTTTGTGATCTCAGGGATGTCCTGCAACTTTTTCCAGTCCAAGAGGGATGAATGTGTAAATATTGGGGAATTTTTAATTTATTTTAACTACTTTACTACTTTTTTCAGTCAATTACCAGACCCTGCAATTGAAGACCAAGGGAAGGACTATATTCGTCCTATATTGAACAAGTATGCAGCTTTATGTGTTCGTTGCCCAGATTATGGAACAAGGTAAAAAAAWTCATATCCAGAAATAGATGTGTACRGAATAATCCTTATGGGTACATGTAGGCTGTGAAGAAAAAYTTAGTTTTATGCTGCCTCTTTCTGAATGGAGCACTTTGCACCAAATTWAAGCTTTTATCATACTCTCTGCAGTGAGCAAATTTGTGTGTCAGATGCTGCAAGTGCAGCAGCAAATTAAAGCATGGTGGGACAGAAGAAGGGACTGAAAATGCCCATTTGAACTTGCCAGGATGATTTCTGCCCTGTTAGTGTAATGATGATGTACTCAGGGGGGGGAAAATGTTAAAACTTTTGGGAATGTGGGATAGCACCCTGGAAGTTTATCTAATGGACCCCGGGGTTAACTTTGTCCTGTTGCTGTTGCAGGACGAACACGGTCGTTCTCATCGATTCCGAGGGCCACGTTACTTTCACCGAGCGCAACATGATCAATGCTGATGTCAACCAGTGGAAAACAAGCACCTATGAATTCAAACTGCACAGTTAACAACTTTCCACATGAATGGTTTGTAATAATAGCAATGAAAGAACAAGCCATTAAGCTCTAGTAAATGTTTTGTGCCAGCCTCCACAAGCTAAAAATAGCAAGGAAAGCAAAAGTTTAAATAAACTGGTAGCATACCCTGTGAAGCTCACAAATGCTTAGGAGAAAACCAGATGAACATGGTGTTTTTACATTAAGTAGCAACTTATAATCAGAAATATTTTATTTAATATCACCCTGCATTCAGGGCAAGGCCATCTTTGTCCAAGACAAAGTCATTGCTTTTTTGTGGGTGTAGATTTTTTAAAAGATGTTTTAAGTAAACTTAAACTTGTTTTCAGTTCTAATGGTGGGAARCATTTGCTGCTTTTATTGTTCTATATGAAGGTTTTACCAAACTTTGCTTTTCCTTCAACATATGCTGTTAAGATTGTACAGCTGATGCCAACRTGCATTAAGTGAATGTATGTTATCCTGGTAGTATTAAGTGCTTTAGCCTCATTTAAGCTTTTCAGTGCCATGGTGCAATGTTCTGCCTGGTGAGAGCAGACCAGGGGGGATTCTTTACATTTGTTTTTCTATAGTAGTACAGCAATATATCTTATTTCTAAAACTTGATCTGAGAATCAAGGTAGGAAATTTAGTTCAGACTGTTCACTTTTGCTGAAAGAACCTTGRGAGCARACTTGCTYATCTTTCACCCAAATAAAACYATTTGTGCTGTGACATCCTGTTTCCTGATAGTCTAATTAGCAATATTGGTTTTGTTATTTCTTCCCCAGCAAGCAGGTAAGGAATAGGTACCTGCTTGMAAAGAGAAGTTGAAGATGTGGGTTTTATGTATTGTCTGTTTTGTACATACAAATTTTGGATTCCTTTATTGCTGTAATATGCTAGAGCCTGGAGTGACTGCTCATAGATTTTAGTAAAAATAGCAGTGTGTTGTATGGTGACACTGTTGCAGTCTTACTGAAAATGTTTAAGGTGTGTAAGGGTATTAAGATGTACTTCCTATGTTCTAAMACTGGGAATTAAAAAGCTATTTAAATGCATGCTTTTTTCAATTATTCAGTGCCAGTGTAGGTGATAGAAATTTCTAGCTAATATCAGGATATTTGAAAACCCTAAGCTATTTTTGCTTCTATTGGTGTTCTGACTTATTTTGAATACTGACTATTAGGTTAATAGTGGATCACCACTAATTTTTTTTCATTTAGGTATGCTGGCTGTATAGTTATGCTGGCTTTTCACAAGCCTCTGATTTTAATTAATTATTGCAAARTAGCAGGATTTTTGATACTCTTTTGAAGATGTGCAGCTGTGTTTCTGTACTCAAGCTTGTGTGTTTTGGGTATTCTCTCACGTGTGTGTTTGTGTGTGTGTGTGTGTGTGTAACGGAGGCAGGAGTAAATGAGATTTTCTATTGAGGTGAAGTACAGTGAAAGGCCATTCYCAGATTTGTAATTGTCAGGAGAGGCTGAAGCAGCATTTAGTCAAATCTCTTCTTTATATTTGCATATTTAAATGGTTTCTAGATACCAGGACTGTTTGCATGACTAGTCACAGGTGGTAGATTCAGTTCTATATAAATGACTTTTTGAACGCCTTGATTGYRAGACAGTCAGTAGWYGTGTTGGGTTGTACATGGTGTAGAACTCAAAGCCTTCCAGACTGTCCTGGAGCTGCAGGAAATAGCCCTTTTTTTCCTTTTCTGATGACTTCTTAAACCATATATTTGTATAGGTAATAATGTTATTTTTAGACGCAAAGAAGTAGCTATAGCTGTCTTAAATTTGAATTTGACATGTGGGTACCTAGAAACAAAGCCCTGCCTCAGTAGCTTGCTGTGAGATTTTGCATAGTGAACTTTTTTATATCCACTTACAAGTAGTGGATATTTAAACATGACATTCTCTTTGAAGACATTATCTTAAAGGCAAGTRAAATGCTTCTATGCAGTATCATGCTAAAAGCATTTGTAAACTTTGGGTTTTATAGCAGTCCGGTAATAATGAGTTTTTACATAGAGGCAAAGAAAGGTGAGTCAGTGCTTAGATGTAAATATAGATTATAATCCTATGTTTTGCTGTGCTTGAATCAATTTGAATCAAAATTCTAAATCTGGGATTTTCTTTTTCTGACAATTAAAATAAACAGAGAAGAGCCCAACCGTCAGATGTTTTTTATCATGTCAGAATAGTTAATAAAGTGAGCTTTTTTAACTTCTTTGGAAGCTTATGAGAGGTTTGTCAGTGGCTTCAGTGGAAACAGTCCAGGTTCAGGACTTAGGTGCTGAAAAGTGGGGCTTGTCCATGGAAGTGATAAGGTATTTGTAAAGTGCATAATCTACTCGGTGCAAATTTGAGTTGCAATGAATCCACTGGAAAAAGTAGGCTGTTGGTAAAGTTAACAAAGAATGTGTTTTATTTTTATAGAAGTATTTTTAATAATAAAAGGGAATTTTAAATACCAGTTTTAAAGGATATAAAGGAAGRAAGTGTATATAGGAAACTATTGTGTGGCATTTTACTAAGTTTGCTTATACATATMATTTCTTCAAAGCCATAAATATGCAAAGTGATTTTTGTTTCCTGATTTTTTTTCTACTGGAATGGTAGTGGAAGAAATTTTAAACATCTGTAAAAGCTCAGTTGTTTTTTTGCTTAAAATTGTGTTACAATTGTTGTTTACATGTGTGTTCAAAACTGGAATCAGAATAAAGTTGATCTGGTGACCAGTCTTTGTTGACATTAGTAGATTGTGCATTTTTGCACATCCGTTTTTGTTCATTTGCCTGTAACTTGGTGTGATACAATGAAGTAAAATCTTACATGCCATATAAGCAATGAAGGAGATGTAAGTTAATTTCTGTTATTTAATTCCATTTTAAGAGTGCTGTATTTTTTCTGGGATCTTTATGTTGTGTTGTGGGTGTTTTTTAATTTTATGCTATTGCATGGTTATCTTATTCAGGTAAGAAATTGGAAAATATTTGAAATAGGAAAGAGCAAAATCAATGCTTCCTTAGGGAAAAGTGAAGCCTTACAAAACGCTGCTGAACAATGGGAATCCAAGTTCACTGTAGAAAAAGTCTGGATCCTTGGCAGACCTGAAACTCTCTTGTTACACTCAATAGAGCCTGCATTAATGTTCTGTCATAGTGGACATGGCAGCGGAGTGGAATTATCTCATGTCCCTTGTAGTAACTTCATAAAACACACCTGAACTGAGCAGAGTATGAGTTGGGCCTTTGAGGTCCTCAGGATCTTCAAAGCTTAACTGATATTTTGTCTTACAAATGAAATACACCATACTAAATATGAAGATAAAGTATTTATAAGACTTGGAACACTGTTTTCATAATACCACAAAAAAATAAGTGGTTTGAAATGAATCTATGAAATACTAAGCAGTAATAAGGCAATAATTAAAGCATCTTGCATTTCAATTGTAGCCTGTAGAATTTTATGCACATTTATGGCTTACCAAGCATCCCTGTTTATATGGAATATTAGCTACTAGGAGTTTTATTTCATTCAGATTGATRTAATAGAACATGGCTGATGTTCTTCATCTGATTCATTTTCTGCAGAGAARTCTTGTTGATAGCTTCTGAGGATCTAGGAAATAGTCTTGACTTGGTGAAAATAGAATCGGTATTGCAATCAGCTGGAGAGGCATGAACTGTGAGAATTACAAAACCCATCAGTATGACTCATGCTGTGAAATGTAGGTTAAGGTGAACAGATTGAAGCAATGTTGAATATTTATTGTATGTATGTATATATATATATATATATATATATATAAATTATCTCTGCTACATTGTATATCAAGAACTTAAAGGCTGAATGAAAAAAGTACCATATTGACATGCTCAAATTTACCGTATCTTTTAAAACAGAAGACATAAGCACTAAACTTAGGATCACAGATGAGGGARAAATAATTTATTCAATRAYTGAGGCTTTTGYCTCTGTTAAAGGAATGTACTCTTCCAAGGAAAAGGTGAATGAGAAAGGTAGGTTTTTTTCTGTCCCTGTACTAGCTCTGCTGTGAATAGCTACTCAAAATAACTGCGTAAAGCCAAGGTCTTAGTCAGATGCATTATCCATCTCCTGTTTGTCATATCTCACTGGAATGACTGGCATTTAGAGAGGAATTAACTGTGCATTCAATTACAGATGGGTCTGCATTATCACCCTGGTTGGATAAGCAGTGCCCTTACATGGTTTTCCTGCTAGTCCCCATTTACTGTGGGACCCACATTTCGGGGCAGMCTCAGGTCACAGAGTGTAGGCTGCTTTCAGAAGGAACAGAACAGGTAAGTGTGCTTGAGGAATACCCCAAGTGTTCTCCAGCCWGTAATGGGTTTAACCTGAGCATATCTGAAATGCACCTCGCATGAAGATTAAAGTACTCTGCACCAATTGCTTTGTTGCATAAATCTCCATATGTTGGCTTTCTAGATGCAGCATGTATAGATATGTTGTATCACCATCTTYGCAATACGGCAGTTGCAAATTTTTCTGTTTTCTGTAGCAATATATTGTGCCAGTCAAGTCTGAGTTCTCTCTTGCTGTAATGTGCATGAGTTTAGACTGGCAAAGCAATTCCGGGATGGCAGTAGCATAAAAAACAACTCTAGCAGCACAACTGTGCTTTCAGAACCGTAATTTATTTGGCCTCTGTCAGGGAAAACAAAGGTACTGACATTTATGGTTTTGCTCATGTAAGTGCAACTACACCTGGATTTTTGACACCAAAGATTATGCTCCTGATTCACGTCTCTGTGTGCTTCCAGCCATATATAAGTCCAAGCTAAGGGATTGGAGCAACAGCTTCTTAGCTGTAGTTCACACCAAGTGTGTACAGCAGAGTGTGCTTTGTTATCACAGCTTTAAGTTAGAAACATCAAGGTGTATAATGGCTCACAAGAAAAATCACCGTGCAGCAGCAGTTGAGGAACAGGCAGAATGTCTGAAGTAGGTTTCAGTGCAATACTTCTACAACTGTGAAGTGACTAAGACTGACTTGGAGGGGTGGTTTAACTGGTAGAGGTGCATGATGTGCAAACAGCCACGAGGCTGATTCAGAGGATTTTTTTTTCAGTTTATAAACAGCAGATAAATACTGCCTATTTCAGGGTTCAGCAGTTCAACGGTCTGAACTATTTGGATGATAAAGGGCCTATATAGAAAGCAAAGAAGAAGATTAGCATTCTGTCCCAGATGGATATTATTTATTTTTTTTCTCTAATATTCCCCCTGAATAAATTGAGTATATTTAGGAATGCAGGATTTTCAGCCATTAGAACAGGTTCTATGTGTGAAGAAAAAGTAAGGGACGTCTCAACCACCGTAGGATAACACCAATCCAGGTCCARCTGGCAATTCCTTCTAAATGGTTTGTGCAGTCCAGTTTCTAATGTGAAGGTCACTTGGTTACCTACAAATTGGCGTCTGTTGTTTTAATTTCCAGATCTGAATGTAAAGCTGTTACTTTTTATTTGACCTCTTGGACATCATACGCCACTGTAAATAATACTGCCTTTAGAAAAATGTCTGCATTAGTGGCCAAAATACTGCCAGCAGTCTGAAATTTGGGAGAACCAGTCAGCTGAAGTTTTTCCAACAGGAATGTCAGAAGTTATATGTGCTTTTGTGGACAACACAATTTAGGTTTTGTTGGATTTGTGAATGGTGAGAACAAGATCAGTAATTCTGTGGTATAGTTGAGCCAAAGGATGTGTCTCTTTCAATTATTTTTTGTAGAAATCAATCACCTCTTTTGACATTAGAGAACAGATCTGAGATTGCTCATGGGGTCCTTTTGACATCTTTCTATGGCTGTGAAGTGATGACTGACAGAGATTAGATTGAGGGGAGCAGATTTCAGMAAAAAGTGAAAGACACGTAATGCAACCAAATACCAGTTTACCAGTGCCAAAAAAAAAAGTAAAAAGCTGCAATGCAATTTATTTTACTGAAGTTAAAGTAGTGCAGGCTGAGAAAACCTTGTCCTGCAGTAGCTTTTACTGTTGGAACAGTGCAGAATATGCTGCAGTTACTGACATAGGAAGAGTATGAAAAAGCCACTGGCTCCACCTAATTTTCATTCTGATGAATGCAGCCTGTTCATATTGGGAAGCTCATAGTTTTGTCTATATAGGCTTGATTCCTGTATTTTGTGTTGACAGCAGTAGTTTCTGTCCAGCCTTCGATATCTTGTATGTGAAAATCTCCTTGTCATTAGGAGCTGGTTTTTTTATTAATGATACTTTGTGGTATTATGGTTAATCCTGATGGCACCATGCAGGTGGATCTGGACACTTCTAATTCAAAAGTGGAAGATTTTTCTGCATGTTTGACAAGTCTTTCATTGGAATTCCAGGTGATGCAAATTTTCAGGTGAATTTGCACCTCATTAAACACAGCGGATCAGATTTACTTCTCCACAGGTCATATCAACCATCTGGATTAAAAATTTAACCTCAATTTGAGCACTGTTTTGATGAAAACATTGTTTTGTTAATAGATTATTATTTTGTTTATAAAAAGTTAAAAGTCTACTTCCCTGTAGTGTCAGTTTCTCAAAGAATCAGCTGTTGCACCATTTTAGT